TTATATCCGAAGACTTTGTCATTAATCCCTTGCGAAAATGGAACGAAGTGCACACGCGCGCGTCGTCGCGCTCGCATGCCGAAATCCTTCAAAAACTCCCGGTGCCGGAAGGATTTCGCAATCGAGTTTCCAAAAAACATTCAAAAACACAAGGTTTCGCAACACGGATGTTCAACAAAAGCGTACGCGCGCGCTCTTGCGTCGTCGTCGTCGTCGTCGCCGTCCTCCCTCTTCCCGCGTCGTCGTCGTCGTCGCCTACGTCGTCCTCTGTCTTTCCTCGTGTTCGTCGTCGTCATCCTCTTTGGCGTCGTGGTCGTTTCCGTCGTCGTTGTCGCCGTGGTCGTCCTTCCTCCTCCTCCCTCGTCGTCGTCGTCCGTCGTCGGCGTCTCGTCGTCGTCCCTCCTATTTCCTCGCCGTCGTCGTCGTCGTCGATGTCGTCGTCGTCGTCTTCCCTCCTCCCTCGTCGTTGTTGTCGTCGGCGTCGCCATCCTTCCTCCTTCCTCGCCGTTCGCGTCGTCGCCGTCCTTCCTCCTCCCTCATCGTTGTCGTCGTTGTCGTCGTTGTCGCCGTCGTCGTCCTTCCTCCTCCCTCGTCGTCGTTTTCGTTGGCGACGTCGTCGTCGTCTTCGTCGTCGGCGTCGGCGTCGGCGTCGTTGTCGTCGTCGTCGAAGTCGTCGGAGACGTCGTCGGTGTCGTCGTAGTCGGTGTCGTCGGTGTCGTCGCAGTCGGTCTTAAGAGCTTTTGCAAACCAAGTTGCGGGTGGGTAGGTGGGATGTTTGCAAGAGCGTGGGATGTGTCAAATCATTTGTTAAAATCAATTCTCCTTGCTAAAAACAGAATAGGATATGCCCCCCCCCCCGGCGTTATCGCCCCCCCTTTCGGATATGTAAATCACATATGATTATGACCACATGTCCATCCTAGATATGAAATCGCAATGTCAAATGCCAACCGGTATCCCCCCCCCCCCTGAGGGTCCTTCGTAAAAAACACTACGCGGTGACATTTGTTGTTCTAACATAACACTGTTTCACGAATTCCTTGCAAAAAAAAGACGAAGTGCACACGCGCGCGCCGTCGCGCGCGCATGCCGAAATCCTTCAAAAACCTTCGGTGCCGAAAGAATTTCGCAATCGAGTTTCCAAAAAACATACAAAAACAAATGGTTTCGCAACACTGATTTGCTCAAAAAGCTTCCGCGCGAGCTCTTGCGAAATCTTGGGAAAACCAAAGGTTTTTTCAAGACTTTCACAAAATGCTACCAAACGGGCTTCGCGCGCGCATGTCGAAATCTGTCGAACGCCCTTGCGCGTGTGCCGTCGCGAGAATCCTCTGCAAAAAATGGGACGAAGTGCAGACGCGCGCGTCGTCGCGCGCGTATGCCGAAATCCTTAAAAACCCATCGGTTTCGGAAGGATTTCAAATCGTGTGTCCAAAAAACCTACAAAAAACACGAGGTTTCGGAACACAGATTTGCTAAAAAAGCTTCCGCGCGAGCTCTTGCGAAATCTTAGGAAAACCATAGGTTTTTCAAGACTTTCACAAAATGCTACCAAACGGGCTTCGCGCGCGCATGTCGAAATCTGTCGAACGCCCTTGCGCGTGTGCCGTCGCGAGAATCCTCTGCAAAAAATGGGACGAAGTGCAGACGCGCGCGTCGTCGCGCGCGTATGCCGAAATCCTTAAAAACCCATCGGTTTCGGAAGGATTTCAAATCGTGTGTCCAAAAAACCTACAAAAAACACGAGGTTTCGGAACACAGATTTGCTAAAAAAGCGTCCGCGCGAGCTCTTGCGAAATCTTAGGAAAACCATAGGTTTTTCAAGATTTTCACAAAATGCTACCAAACGGGCTTCGCGCGCGCGCATGTCGAAATCTGTCGAACGCCCTTGCGCGTGTGCCGTCGCGAGAATCCTCTGCGAAAAATGGGACGAAGTGCAGACGCGCGCTTCGTCGCGCGCGTATGCCGAAATCCTTTCAAACCCATCGGTTTCGGAAGGATTTCAAAATCGTGTTTCCAAAAAACTTTCAAAAACACAAGGTTTCGCAACACAGATGTTCAACAAAGCGTGCGCGCGCGCTCTTGCGTCGTCGTCGTCGTCCTCGCCGTCCTCCCTCCTCCCGCGTCGTCGTCGTCGTCGTCGCCCACGTCGTCCTCTGTCTTTCCTCGTGTTCGTCGTCGTCGTCCTCTTTGGCGTCGTGGTCGTTTCCGTCGTCGTTGTCGCCGTGGTCGTCCTTCCTCCTCATCCCTCGTCGTCGTCGTCGTCCGTCGTCGGCGTCACATCGTCGTCCCTCCTATTTCGTCGCCGTCGTCGTCGGCGTCGTCGTCGTTGTCGTCGTCGTCTTCCCTCCCCCCTCGTCGTTGCCGTCGTCGGCGTCGCCGTCCTTCCTCCTTCTTCGTCGTTCGCGTCGTCGCCGTCCTCCCTCCTCCCTCGTTGTTGTCGTCGTTGTCGTCGTTGTCGCCGTCGTCGTCCTTCCTCCCCCTCGTCGTCTTCGTTGGCGACGTCGTCGTCGTCTTCGTCGTCGGCGTCGGCGTCGTTGTCGTCTTCGTCGTCGTCAACGTCGGCGTCGTCGTCGTCGCCGCCGTCGTCGTCGTCGTCGTCGCCGGCGTCGTTGACGTCGTCGTCGTCGGTGTCGTCGTCATCGTCGTCGTCATCGGCGTCGTCATCGTCGTCGTCGTTGTCATCGTCGTCGTCGTCGTCGGCGGCGTCGTCGTCGTCGTCGGTGTCGTCGTCGTCGTCGTCGTTGTCGGCGTCGTCGAAGTCGTTGGAGATGTCGTCGGTGTCATCGTAGTCGTTGTCGTCGTCGTGGTTGTCGCTGTCGTCGTCGGCGTCGCTGTTGTTGCCAAGTGCCATTTGGTTCCCACCGTCACGGTCTTAAGAGATTTTGCAAACCAAGTTGCGGGTGGGTGGGTGGGATGTTTGCGCGAGCAGTGGAGTGGACAACTCACTGCGAACAGAAATTAATTACACCGCATAGACTTCACCACCTTGATTGCACAACGTAGTTTGCATCGGTCTTGGGAGCGTCTTGGGCCCTTCTTTGGGGCTCTTGTGCCATATTTGGCCGATATTGGGCGCCTCTGGTTCCGTCTTGGAAGTTCCGAAGACCGAGAAGGCGCCAATGCTAAAATCGTATGACATGCACTGGATGTTGACGTGGGCTGGCTTCCAGGGCCTGTAAGAGAGCCCAAGAGGCGCCCAGGAGGAAACCAAAACGATCCCCAGGGCCATCTGAAACCTTCTTGGACATGCATGTCCCGAAAAATACGCTTTGGCCTCCCGAGAAGTCACCCGAGGAACCCTCGAAAGCGCGTGGGAGCGCCCAGGAGCGTCCGAAACTGCGGGTTCCGGGCCCCGTAAATACGATGTACAATGTGCAGTACAGAGAACTGAAATACCGTGGTCACGGAACTGTTGCTCAGCTTCACCGTCGTCGCCGGCCTGACGGTCAGCTTGCCAATGGTGTTCCTTGCCAGGACTACGTCTGGTCGTCATTCGCACAGGAGTGCTAACACAACGGCTCCATCGGGTTTCTTCAGTACGCCCAATTCGCGTACAAAACGTTCAGCTCCGACCTTTTGAGCGTCAGGCACCGTCTTGCCTTTCTTTGTTCTCGTGTGCTGAGTCGGCTTGTGTTCGTTGTGCACACTCTCGTCACAGCGGGACGTAACCTGATAGCCATGAACGGTTGCTGTATGCGCTGTCTTCGGCGCAGAATTGGTTGAGGTTCCTGGCATCAGTCCACAGAACAACGCCACAGACCAACAAGTCAGAGACATGCTGCAACAGCTAAGCCTCAATTGCCTCATCCTGCGCGCCGGGCTTGCTTTCATGGCAAGGGTGTACACCGCGATCGTCTGGCTGAGCATTTGGCTCTCCTTCATCTTCGTGTCGGTGGCGAGTCCAGCCGTCTGCCATGGGTTGCCCAGCTGGCCATGGATTTCGATGTGTTTCAAAACGTCCTTGCTATTTGCTGGGGGCCTTCCCTTTTCAAGGCCCAAAGCTCTGGCACGACAGGATGTTGCAGCCAAGCGCGTGGAGCTGCATGCTTAACGCAGTCTTCACCGAGTCGGCATGCGATCGCCATAAGGATGCATCTGATTCTCGCGTCGTGCGCCCGTTTGGCTGTCCTGACTGTGATTGCGTTTTCGCGTCGTCACGCGCGTTTGAGTCTCACGCGAGAGTCAAGCACCTGAAGCAGAATGCAATCTGCGAGTTCGTTCCCTCCGGCGTTTGCCCCTGCTGCCAGACGACTTTGTACATCGCGTCCGCTGTCTTGCACACCTGCAACCGGCGCCGCCCTCGATGCAGGCTTGGGGTCTTCCGGCAGTGCCGGCGATTGCCGCCAGCCACGGTGGCGCGCCTCGACCAAGCCGACAGAGAGACTCGCCGAGCTGCGCAACGCAGTGGCCGCTTCCCCGGCATAGCCAAAGGCGCTGCCCGCAACCGCTTCGGCAAGGTCGTGGGCCGAGAACCTGCCTTGCTGGAGCACTGGACCGCGTGTATAGTATATGGTTTGAAATTGCCAGACCTCCTGAAAAATAGTTGTGCGTATATAATGTGCATATATCACTATGTATATGTTTGTATGTTCATGCAGTCTACGCGGTGCAATAGATGTGGTGCAATGTATGCGATGCAACCTATGTAATGCAACCGATGCGGCGCAATAGATGCGGTACAATCCATGTGGTGCAATACCCACCCCGGGATGGTTAAGCAAAGTAAGAACCCCTAAGTGCAAGCATTGTTCGGGGAACATGTGTAGCGCATACAGACATACATACACCATAGAGCGCAGTAACTGAATGGAGCACCGAAACAAATACTCGAAACAATGAAAGTAATGATTGACAGATGCCCCTTGGTAGTTCCCTCATCTCCGGATCGAGGGGACGGCTTGAGGTGCTCAGTCTCCCTTCAAAACATGAGCCCCGAGCATTGTCGTCACAAGATCTCTCACTCATTGCATGGGCCGTACGTACTGTAGACGCGCTGCAGGACGACAACCCTTACCACCCTAAGCTGGAGAAGAAGTACGAGAGTATTCCAAAGAACCAGCTGCCCTTGTCGGAGTCCCTCAAGCTCACCATCGACCGCGTCCTGCCGTTCTGGACGGGCTCCCGAGCAGCTGTCACTCCGCGATCCGAGCTCGGGGATGGAGATGGAAGAGGAGGAGCACAAGGTGCAATCCCAAGATGCTTCAACGATGCTGCAATGCACCCACCCCACCCAAGCCCTCTCTCCAGAAGTTCTTGCAAAAGATCCTGTTCCGTGTAGGGAGTGCCCCCTGGAAAGACGGGTGCCACGTGGTCTTGCACTCCTGGCGAGAGCTCCGTTTTGCAAAGGAGCTGCTATCCGTGCCTCTGGTTCTAAGGACGGCGACGAGGTAGGACCACAAAGTTCAAGGAAGTATCCAGCAAGAGCCATGCTTGGAAAAAGGGCGCCGTCAATCTGTCCACGCAAGGGCCCCTTGTTTAGGAGGGAGTCGCCCTCACCAGGGCACTTGTTGCACAGTTCTTCACTCGGGGTCATAAGATCCGACGAAGTACCCATGGAAATCCAGTGCTTGAGAAAGAGGATGCCTTCCGTCTGTGCACATGTTGCAAAGTACTACGACGAATGCGCGCGACGCTAAGGCGGGGGCCACCTGTTGAAAACCACCGCCGCCATCCGAATACATGCTGGAAGAGCTTCAGATGAACGCGCGCGGGCTTAAGCGAAAATTACATGTTGAAAGCACCCCTATCCATTCGTGTAATTGCTGAATGCGCTAAAGACGAATGCGCCCGGCGCAAAGGCGAGAAACAAATTTTCAAAACGATCATCCCCCCACCCGTGTATTGTTTGAATGTGTTAACACCATTGCGCGCGGCGTTGAAGCGAGAGCCACATTTTGAAAACGACACCCCCTCCATCTGCGCAATTGTTCGAAATCTCCAGCTTCGGGATCATCAACGGAGAGGAAGTATCGGCGAAACGCCCAGCCCGCCCTACCGGCACGTCTGGTGGTCAGACGAGAAGGAAGTTCTTTGTAAGAAAAATGGATGGAGAAAAATTAGGAGGGGGCGATTCCTGGACGTCATCCCTTAGCGTTGCCAGGCAACTTAGAGAGCGCCGCTTGCCTTCGAGAAGATGCATCGCACGGCGTCCACTCATCATACGGTTGTCGCTGTAAAGATAGCGCGCGATGTGGCACCGCTGACACGCTTACAACACGCTATTCCCACCTTGGGGATAGCGTGCACCGAAGAAGCCCTGGCAGGGAGATAGCGTGCAGTGAAATGGCACCCGCGAGGGATCGCCTCACAGGGACAGCGTGCTTTTCGGAGATCGATGTTGCACGCTATCTTTCTAAGGCCAACCATACGTGATGGTCCGACCCAGACCCGTGGCTCATACATCAACGGAAACTCAGGTCGTGTCAGTGTGTTGAACCATCGACCCGACCCACCTTAAAGAAACCAAAAACCCTTTCCAGGACACCGTCACGAGGAAGAGGCATGTGAGCGTGTAGCGTCGGGCAGAAATTTTGGGGTGCCGTGCCTTTGATGCTAAGGAGGGGTCCATTATGAAGGATGGTTCAGCCCATTCTGGGGCAAGCTCGTCATGGGCATCTGTCGACTGGGATGTAGTTGATGATGGCGACGGTGATGATGCAGCTTTATTTCGATCCCCCTTCATCCCTCCCGGTCACCTCCTCCCCTCCCCGTTCTCGGGGGCGGCCAAGAGGGGAGTGAGGATTAGGAGGCCGTGGATACCATGGCCAGGGCCATCATATCTCCGTGTCCGTGGGGGCCAGAATTTGTCCGCTTGATTTGGGTGTACCGTCCTTTCCTCAATGTCATGCCCATCCCCAGTTCTTCGGGTTGGCAGCGCACGCGACCCTCAGGGTGTGAGCCTTCTAGTCCCACTTGCTGAAAACTGCCCGCAGTTCCGCCCCTATTCTCCCGCCCCCTCTGCAGACGAATCATACAAGTTTTCGCTCGCTGGACTGATCACCTACGTGGGTTGACGCTTCATTTGCACGGCGTCCGAGGTAGCTTATTGGCTGCACGCTCGCGTCGCCGAGTGCGTCATCGTTCTGAAGAGTTATATATCCCTGGATGTTGTGGCCCCCTCCCATTTTATTTCAATGCATTCCTTGCCCCCCCACCCACCGCTGGACCGCGCACACGCCTCGGGCCATGATTTGCGAACCCACTTCTTGGACGATCCCCTCTTGGACGTCCCAGGCGTCCTCTCGATCCTTCCCTTCTGCCTCTCTCTCATCATCATCCTCCCTCCTCCTCCGCCTCCCCTTTAGCCGCGCGTTACGCTCAACGCGCTGGCCCAGCGTCTTCCCAGCGGCGCCCACGGAGGATGGACGCCGTTCTTTTTCTGGGTCCTATGGGGGCACTCACCCTACCGACCCTGAAGTTGTTCACGCAAACATCCCACCCACCCACCCACCCGCAACTTGGTCTGCAAAACCATACGACGGCTATTGCGATGAGTGCTTGGCGTTGGCTGGTGCATCTCTGCGGCCGCGCAAGCCCTCGCATGCTCGCGCGCGCAGCGAACAGCTAGTGCGGCGCGACCGTCGCGGCCGCGGTGGCGCTGACCTCTGGGCATTTCCAGCGGGCACTTCAGTGCGAGTCGGTGACGTGGGCGGGCGCGGTATCACGACGACGCCGACAACGGTAGGCACGATGATGAGAGTAGCGATGATGGTGATGATGGTGGCGATGACGACGGCAAGGCCAATGACGGTGCCGGTGTTGATCACGCCCGCCGATAACGATGACGATGTCCTCGCGTCGGTGATGAAGGTTTTGGAAGGAGTTCGACCTGCGCGCGCGACCGACGTGCGCGAACGGCCCGCGTGGTGTTATTTGACACGGGTCGTGCCCCCCAGCACGCGCGCAAGGGCGTCCGGATGAGCTTGACATGCGGCGCGAGAGGCCCGCTTGGCAGAATGTGATGGCAATGTAGAAAAATGAAGAATTCGCCAGAGCGCGTGCGCAGGCGTTTTTTGAAACCTGATGTTGCAAACCCATATGATGTTATATGTTTTCGGAGTACTCGCTTTTGAAATCGCTACGAATTCTGAGGTCTGTTGAAGGATGTCTGCATGCGCGCACGACGACGCGCGCGCGTGCATTTCTTCCCGGTTTTAACAAAGGGTTCTTGCGACAGAACGCGCGCAAGGGCGTTCGAGAGATGTCGACTTGCGCGCGCGAGAGGCCCCTTTGGTAGCATGTTGTGATAATGTTGGAGAACTACGGTTTTCCAGTGAATTCGCAAGGGCGCGGGCGCATGGTTTGTTTGAAAACCCTTGTTGCGAAGCCATGTGTTTGATGTGTTTTCAGGATTTGGGCATGCGCACTCGACGACGCGCGCATGTGCAGCTTGCCCCATTTTTCTGTTGCAAGGGATTTTTGAACGAGCGCGCGCGCATAATATCTGTTGCGGAGGATGAGGGGGGGTGCGAACTCCAGCCTGCCTGGGATGGTGCGAATTCATATTTAGGATGGACGATGAGGCAAAACCATATGTAAACTGCACATCCCCAGAGGGGTAGTGAGAAGTCCGGCCGCGGGAGGGCGGTGGGTCCTAATTTTTTCTGGGGGACAGGAGAATCAAGATGTATCCAGAGGCTTCGAAATAGCAAACGAACCTTTTTGATTTCTTCTTCACCAGATTTCGAGCGGACCCCGGGACAGTCAACACATTGATCCAGGACGCAGAAGTTACCCAGGGGAGGGCGGTCAAGATTCTTGGATTCCAGGAAAGGGCACCAGCATCCAAAAAAATACGACATCGAAGGTTTGGCGGGGCAGCCTCTGTTGTTGATTCCCCCGTGTATGCGAACGCGGGGACCACTGCAGGAACAGCAACATCGCCCCAGAGCTCCGAAGGGGCAAGACCGTGCTCATCGCCGCCCACGGCAACTCCTTGAGGCCCCGCTGAAGGGGGGCACGGCATCACGAGCAAGGGGGGACGGAGTAGAAGGAGGAGGAGGAAGAGGAGGATTACAGGTACCAGCCAGGTCCCACGAGTGGGCGGGTCCCTCGAAACCCCAACCGCCACTACCATAACATAAGAGCCAACGGTGACGCAATACCATATTGTGACTGGCGCGCGTTCCACTAGCGCACACCAGTCGCTCGCGCGCGGTCCCACCACCGACCGTTTGGCAATGAGGAAAAGCACGGGACGCGCACAGGCGGGAGCGGAACTATGAGAAATTCATTGCGCTCCGTTTCGATCGGTAAGCATGTAGTGAAGCAGGGGTGCCAACCATGGTGAAGTTAGAGACTCGGGGAGCCTCGTGGAGCCGTCGAGGGGCAGTTACTGGATGCATGTTGGTTTTCGGGGGGGGGCATCTTGGGACTCTCTCGGGGCCCTCCTAGGGGGCCCTGGAGGGCCGCTCTGGAATGCCTCTGGGGGCCATCCTGGAAGGCATGGCTGAAAATGGAGGGCTGCGGCAATTAAGTCCCCTCTTCTCGGAGGCCAGAAAAGTGCCGCTGTGCGGCCTCTTGGGACGCTCTTGTGGCGTTTGGGGGCGTTCTTCTGGCCGCATTGGGGCCTTGATGGGATACTTGTGGGGGTAATTCGGATAATCTTGGAGTCATTCAGAGGCTTCAGAGGCCCATGGCAGGCGAAAAGGCGAGAAAGCAAAAATCATTGATGTTTGACACGCGTTGGAAATGCTCGGGTCTATTGAGGTGTTTGGGGGGATCCAAGAGCACACGGAGCTGCCTTGTGGCCGACTTGGGGACTTTCGGAAGTACGCCAGAGTCTATCATGAAATCACGATAGATTGAGTCATCTTGGCGCTGGAGGCCACATTGAAGCCATCTTGGGCCCGAAAGGCAGTCTAACATATCACGTCCCTCCCCCCCTCCCAAAAAATGAAGGGGTAAGGGGCTGGGCCCAGTTACCCCGAAAGACAACCACAAGCCGTCTCGCTCACTCACACGCGCCATCCCGCCACACAGGTAGCACCCGAGTCTCAGTGCCAGGTGCGCCAGCACCCGTGACCGCACACACCAAGAAACATGTCCCCACCTTGCATCCTTGCCATAAACAAATCTGAAGTGGCGGCGGATTTGTCAGCATGGCGTATTGCGTGTGCACCTGCAGTCACTTTTGCAGTGGTGTTTGATTGGGATGGTGGGCCCGCACGCATCAGACAAGATGCGGGCACCCCCGCCATCCCTGCCAAAAAGCAATGCAAAATTGATCGCGGAGCCCTCGCGCAAGGTCCAAAATTTCGATCCAAAATGCATTGTGTAGCGGTATTTGACGGTGGTGTGCCTGCACATACCAGACTCTAAGTTGCTTCCCACTCCTTGTCAACAAAAATGTATCGAAGACGCCTACGGCGAATCACCGCCGCCCCCTGCCCTTTCGGAAGCGCCTATGTGGCCGAACGTTGCGGCCAGAGGCCTGCCAAGCTATCCGACCATATGTTCCCCGAATCGGTTTGGAAAGCTTTCGGGGAACACGTGGGGGAGAATGAACATGATGAGGAAGAGGAAGAGGTCTCTTGGGCCGTCTTGAGCCGTCGGAATGGCGAGAAGAAACAAATGCCACCATCCTTGAAACACTTAAGGAAAATGAATGATTATGGTCTCCTCGGGCCCTCCTGGAGGACCTCTTGGAGGCCTCTTGGGCCGTCTTGGAGGCCTCTTGGGGGCCTCTTGGGCCGTCTTGGGCAATATTGACGCAATGTTAGGCCGTCTTGGAGGCATCTTGGGCCGTCTTGGAGGCATCTTGGGGGGCGAAGCTATCGGACCATGTGTTCCCCGAGTCGGTTTGGGAAGCAATCGGGAAACACGTGGGGGAGGAAGAGGAAGAGCGAGAAAAGGAGGAACAAGGAGAAGGGGGAGGATGCCTCTTCGGAGTCTCTTGCGGTACTCTTGGGCTCGATTGGGCCATCTTGGGACCGTCTTGGAGGCCATGTTGGTGAGATCTGGGGCTCTCTTGGAGCCTCTTGAGGGCCTCTTGGGGCCTTCTTGGGACTTCTGGGGGGCCTCTTTGGCCGTCTTAGGGCGTTCCTGGCCCGTCTGACGCCGTCGGGAGCCGTCCTGGGGCCATCTTGGAAGCCTCTTGGGCGCTCTTGGGGCAATCTTCCTGGCCTCTCCGTCGGAAAGCCGAAAAGCAGCGGACTCCAAAATCCTGCAAAAACCAAAGGAAAATCAATGAATTTGCCCTATTCGGGACCTCTTGAGGGGCCTCTTGGACCTCTCTTGGGACGTTCTGGCGATCTCTTGGGGGCCTCTGGAACCGTCGTGGGCCATCTTGAGGCTATCTTGGGCCGTCTTGGGTGCATCTTGGGCTGTCTTGGAGACATCTTGGAGCCATCTTAGGCTTTCGTGGGACCATCTTGGCCATCTTGGGCGTCTTGGAAGCTTCTTGGGCCGTCTTGGAGGCCTCCTGGGCCGTCCTGGGGCCATCTTGGAGGCCTCTTGGGTGCTCTGGGGGCGATCTTGGTGGCCTCTTGGGCCGTCTTGGACAGCGGGAAGGCTTAAAAGAAGCATATGTCAAATCATTTAAAAACCGATGGAAAACCAATGAATTTGGCCTCTTCGGGATCTCCTGGGGACCTCTCGAGACCCTCTTGGGCCATCTTGAGGCCATCTTGGAGCCATCTTGGCTCGTTTGAGGCTTCTTGGACGATTGAGAAAGCATTTGGACCCCTCTTGGGCCGTCTTGGAGGCCATCTTGGACCATCTTGGGCGAACTTGGAGGCCATCCTGGGCCATCTTGGCCGTCTTGGAGGCCATCTTGGGCCAACTTGGGGCAACAAAGGCAGCGGCGGATGCGTTTTGTCCCGGGACCCTGGCGGGACTCGCCGGAGCCCCAGGGTGAGTTCTTTTGGAAAAGAACCAAAACCAAAACCGAAGTCATCTAGCACGCCAGGCACCCCTGTGATGAATCAACAGGGGGCGGCGGATCGAAGACGCTTACGGCGAATACCCGCCGCCCCCTGCCTTTCTGGAAGCGCCTATGTGGCCGAACGTTGAGGCCAGACCTGCCAAGCTATCGGACCATGTGTTCCCCGAATCGGTTTGGAAAGCCTTCGGGGAACACGTGGGCATCTTGAAGGTCCTCTTGGCCGCCTGGAGGCCATTTTGACCCTCTCGGGCCTTCTTGGAGGACGTCTTGGAGGGCTCTTGGGCAGTCTTGGAGGCCATCTTGAGCGTCTTGGAGGCCTCTTGGGCCGTCTTGGGGGCCTCTTGGGGCCGTCTTGGGCCTCTTGGGCGATCTTTGGGGGCACTTGGGTCGTCTCGGGCCGTCGGAGGGCCTAAAAAAAGCAAATGCCACAACCCTTCAAAAACTCATGGGAAATCAATAATGTTGGCTTGTTCGGGCCTTGCTGGAGGCCCTCTTGGAGGCCTCTTGGGCCGTCTTGGGCCATCTTAGGGCCATCTTCGGCCGTCTTGGTGGGACCCTGGCCCGTCCGACGACGTCGAAAGCCGTTTGGGGGGCCTCTCTGAGCAGACTTGGGGCCCTCTTGGAATGCCCCAGGGCCGTCTTGGAGGCCGCCTTGGGTGTCCTAAAAGGCCTCCTGGGTCGTCTTGAGGGCCTCTTGGGGCCGTCTGGGGGGCCTCTAGGGCCGTTCTGGGGCCATCTTGGAGGCCTCTTGGGCGATCTTTGGGCGATCTTTGGGTGCTCTTGGGCCGTATCGGGCCGTCGGAAGGCCGAAACGAAGCAAATGTCAAAATGTTTCAAGAAAATACGGGAAAACCATGTTTTTGCCTTTTCTGGCCTTCCTGGAGGCCCTCTTGGAGGCCTCTTGGGCCGTCTTGGGCCAGCTTCGAGCCAACTTCGGCCATCTTGGTGGGCTCCTGGCCCGTCTGACGCCGTCGGAGGCCGTTCGGGGAGCCTTTCTGGGCCGACTTGGGGCCCTCTTGGGGTGCTCCAGGGCCGTCTTGGAGGTCATCTTGGGCGTCTTGGAGGCCTCTTGGATCGTCTTTGTGCCCTCTTGGGGCCGTCTTGGGCGCATCTTGGGCAGTCCTGAGGCCATCTTGGAGGCCTCTTGGGCGCTGTGGGGGCGATCTTGGGGGCCTGTTGGGCCGTCTTGGGTCGTCGGAAAGCCGAGAAGAAGCAAATGCGAAAATCCTTCAAAAACCGCAGGAAAACAAGAGGCACGCGTGCCAAGGATCATACAATCATGGATGTGGGACGCTTGGAGATGCAGGTGGCGCCAACCTGCGGGAGTTTCGGGGAGGCGCGCGAGTGCTGCGACACGCTGAGCTATGGCGTGAAGAACTGTTGTCACTGTGAGCTAGTGGCGTCTCTATGACTCTCCAGGGCCATGGTGCCATTGGGCGCCTCTGGGGCTTGTTGGTGGTCTTTTGTAGGCCCGTCTGGGGCTATTTTGGGATGTCTTGGGGAAATATTGAGCTGTCCTGGGGCCTTGGCCAATCGTTGGGACTCGAAGGGGGCCAGGGACACGGCCGGAGCGGGGGGGCATGGTAGGCGGGTCGGAACGAGCAAGCGGGGGGGCCACGGGGAAGAAGGGGCGGGACAGGAAAGTGGCCGGGGAGAGCGGAGGGGGCATGGTCGGTCGGCGGGGGCCGCGGGGCGGAGGGGGGAGGCACGGTCGGCCAGTCGGTCGGCATAAGCAGACGGGGGCCACTGGGGGAAAGGGAGGGGGGGGAGGGCACTGTCGGTCGGTCGGAAATAAGCAGACGGGGGGAATAAGCAGACGGGGGCTACCGGGCGAAGGGGCGCGGGTGGATACAGGGGGGGGACTGGATGGCAACGGTCGGGCAGGTGGTTGGGGGGTGGCCGGGGGTCGGTCCGCAGTCGGAATGAGCATACGGGGGCCAACGGGGCGGAGGGTGGGGGGCACGGTCGGTCGGTCGGTCGGATGAGTCAGCCGGGCCCAAGTGGGTGTGGGGAACGGTCTGTCGGGTCGGTCGGTGGGAATATGCAGACGGGGGCC